GAACTCTCAATCCATGGCGGATTATCTGCAGCAGATCAAAGAAATTTCCGATTCCCTCACTGCAGCAGGCGCTTCGATTTCCGATCGAGATCTAATTGCTGCTACACTGGCTGGTCTTCCTGATGAGTTCGAATCATTCATCGACTCCATCATGCTTCGTCTCTCTTCCACATCTCTTGATGAGTTGCATGGATTATTACTCACCAAGGAGCTTTCCATGAATCGACGGAAGCAACTCGCCTCTTCTGCACCTACTGAACCGTTTCATGCTCTCTCGGTTCAGACTTTACCGCCTCTTCTTCCTACACCACCTCAGGCTTTTGCTGCTCAACAGCCTCATCTCCATAACTCTTCTCGATATAACTCCTATCGTGGCCGGAATAATCGATTTTCTAATAATCGAGAACACAGAGGCAATCATCGGGGCAACTACACTCATGGCTTCACTTCTGGATCCAATCGTGGTCATCATTTCTTCTCTCGTGGTTCACCTTCATCGGGTACTCGTAATTCCTGCCAGATCTGTGGGAATCCAAGTCATGAGGCAATCGATTGCTTTGATCGCATGAATCCAGATATTTCTGGTAAAATCCCTCCAGCAAAGCTTGCTGCAATGTGTGCGCGCTATCAATCCAAGTCCTCTTCTCCTTCCTGGCTCATTGATTCTGGAGCAACTTCTCACATAACCAATGACATCTCCAACATCTCGTCTCCATCTCCTTATACTGGTGAAGATAAAGTTTACATTGGTGATGGTAAAGGTCTTCCTATCACTCATATTGGTTCCTCTTTGTTACATGCTCCTCATCATTCCTTTAAATTGAACAATGTACTTCATGTTCCTCAAATGAAGCACAACTTATTGTCTGCTTTTCAATTTGTTAATGACAATTCATGTTCATTAACCCTCGATTCTGATGGATCCTCTGTAAAGGATCGTTCTACGGGGAAGATGCTTTTGCGGGGACCAGTTACAAATGGCTCCTATCATTTGCAAAGCTTTCCATCCAGCGGTATCTCTTCTGTTTCTTCATCAGCATTCGTCAGTATTAAAGCTCCAGTGAAGATTTGGCACAGTCGATTGGGCCATCCCTCCTCTACCATTTTTCGGAAAGTAATATCTAGTAATTGTCTTGCACTGCATGGTAAATCCTCAGTTGACTTCTTCTGCTCAGATTGTGCCATTGCTAAGAATCATAAATTGTCCTTTTCTCCTACTAAGTCATCCACTCCTCATAGTTTAGCTTTAATTCATTGTGATGTATGGGGACCTGCCCCTGTGACTTCTGTGAGTGGTTTTCAGTATTATCTGTTGTTAGTAGATGATTACACCAGATATAGCTGGTTCTTTCCATTAAGAAGAAAATCTGAGGTGTTTTCTACCTTTGTAACTTTCAAGAACTATGTGGAAAAATCTGTTGGCAATCAAATAAAGCGACTATACGTTCTGATTCAGGGGGTGAGTTCACTAGTGCTTCTTTTCAGTCTTATCTTCATTTGCATGGCATTTCTCATCAGTACAGCTGCCCACATACACCTGAACAGAATGGATGTGTAGAACGCAAGCATCGACATCTTGTAGAAACAGCACGAACACTGTTAGTCGCTTCTCAAGTCCCTTCAGTTTATTGGGTTGAAGCCTTCTGCACTGCCATTTACTTGATCAAAAGGTTACCCATTTCTGGTCTTCTCAAATCTCCATGGGAGTTACTATTTCACACACTCCCTGACTACACTCGCCTACGGATCTTTGGGTGTAGTTGCTTCCCATGGTTAAAATCGTATGTTCATTCTAAACTTGATGGCAAAAGCAAGCAGTGTGTTTTTCTTGGGTACAGCTTACAACATAAAGGTTATAGGTGCTTAGACACAGCCACTGACCGAGTTTACATCTCTCGGCATGTTCAATTTGATGAAACCTCATTTCCCTTCGCTACCAAGACATCTTCCTCATCTCCTTCTACCCTTCCTATCTCTCCTACCTTTGATCTACATTTTCCTATTTCTACCCTAAACTCTGCTCCCATATGCTCTCCTCCTATCCTCCCTATTACCCCTGCTTCCTCTCCTAGTGCTCCTGTCTCCCAAGTCCCGATCCCCTCTCCATCACCTTCTCCATCTTTGCCAAGTCATAACACACATCCAATGGTCACTCGATCGAAAAATGGTATTTTTAAGCCTCGGGCCTACAATGCTACCAAACATCCCCTCTCATCCTCTACTGATTATATCCCCACCACTTACAATCAAGCTTCTAAGTTTGCTGAGTGGAGAACTGCAATGCAGGCCGAATTTAATGCCCTCCAATCCACTGGTACATGGATCTTGGTTCCTTCTTCTTCCAATCAGAATATTGTTGGCTGTAAATGGGTATTTCGAATCAAAAAGAAGCCTGATGGTACAGTTGACAGGTATAAAGCCCGGCTTGTTGCCAAGGGATTTCACCAACAAGAAGGTCTCGACTATCAAGAGACTTTCAGTCCTGTCGCAAAGCCTGTTACCATTCGCATACTGTTGACCTTTGCTGTTCAGTTTAATTGGTTTCTTCATCAACTCGATATTAGCAATGCTTTTCTTCATGGTGATTTAACGGAAGACGTCTTCATGCATCAGCCACCTGGTTTCAGTGATCCAAACTATCCTCATCATGTGTGTCAATTGAAAAAGTCCCTGTATGGACTCAAACAGGCCCCACGGGCATGGTTTGATAAGCTGTTTCAGTCTCTTCAGTCTCTCGGCTTTACTCAGTCCTCCTCTGATGCATCTCTCTTTGTTCTCAAGGCTCCGGTTCTTGTGGTTGTCCTTGTCTATGTCGACGATATATTGGTCAGTGGTCCGGATTCCTCCGCCTGCCATCTGTTCATTCAGAAGCTAAGTTCTTTGTTTCTTGTCAAAGACTTAGGTCCCTTACATTACTTCTTAGGACTTGAAGCCCAACGCACCACAGAAGGTTTATTTTTACATCAAGGGAAATATTTGTTGGACCTTTTGCACAAGACAAACATGGAGGGTGCTAAACCTTGTTCGACACCTCTTGGTACTGTCAAACTGGATCACAGTGGTACACCTTTGGCAAATCCAACCGAGTATCGATCTATTGTGGGCGGTCTTCAGTATCTTACTTGGACTCGACCTGATATCTCCTTTGTCGTCAACCAAGTATGCCAATTTATGCATACTCCTACTGACTTACATCTGCAAGCAGCCAAGAGAATTTTGCGCTTCCTCAAAGGTACATCTTCTCATGGCATCTGGTTTCTTAAGGGTCCTCTTACTCTATCAGCATACTCTGATGTTGACTGGGCTGGCTGCCCATTTGATAGACGTTCCACGAGTGGATTTTGTGTGTACCTTGGTTCCAATTTAGTTAGCTGGAGTGCTAAAAAGCAATCTACAGTAGCTCGTTCTTCTACTGAGGCTGAATATCGGTCTCTTGCTCACACTGCCGCTGAAATTACCTGGATCTGCAAGGTTTTCAGAGATTTTGGTTTCTCCTTCACGCTCAAACCTACCATCTGGTGCGACAACATCTCTGCCATTTCACTTGCATCCAACCTTGTTTTTCATGCCCGAACTAAACACGTGGAAATCGATTACCACTATATCCGAGAGCTGGTTCTTGCCAATCTGATTAAAATTCAGTATGTCTGTAGTCAGGATCAGATCGCAGATATTCACACCAAATCTCTGTCTAAACATCGGTTTCTCTTCCTTCAATCCAAGCTCTCTCTTGGCACTCCTAGTCTTTCCAAGCTCAGCTTGAGGGGGTGTAAAGATAAAGATGCCAAGTCATAACAGTTCATATGATTTTAGTTAGAAAATCATTCTTGTTATAACTGTATTATTACATCTGTATAGTTTAGTTAGGTAGTTATGTTTACAGGCTGTCATAGATATTTTGGTACATAGCCTTAACTATATATAGATATCGAAATGTAAGTGTAAAAGTTAAGTTGTGAAAAGTAAATGAGAAGAGGAATATTAAGATAGAAATCATCTCTCTGTTCTTTAAGATTCTTTAGTGGTCCGGTAGATGGACTTCAGAATTTCTCTAGGGAAAGGATTTGAGATTATTGCTTCGGCAGAACACAAAACTTCGAGTGTTACTGCTAAACGACGTATTATATATAACCAGCTATCCATCTGTTATCGGGCACTTGTTCACCACAAACCTCATGTGATTCTGAGTTTTCACTTGCATCCCGAAATTCTCATTTTAATGTTTCAGTCGATAAATTTCTCAGAAAAAGCTGTGTCGAACATATTGAGGGACCGAAAATATCACCATATTCGGGAAAAAATAGACATATAGATTGAAGATCAGGAAGCTGGAAAGAGAAACAAACCAACATCTCATCATCTTATTTATGTGCGTCAATGGTTTCAGACAAACATAACTAAAAACTGAACAACTAACCACAAAGTCTTGATCCCGATTTCATAAAGAAAAATACACGCACGTATTCACATCCAAATAAACCCAAAGATGACTAATGCATCCGTCTGACATGAACATGAACGAGAGTCATTCCAAATGGTCCCTTCTTGAAATGTCACAAATGCCAGCCTAGTGGTCGTGCTTTCTTTCGAAAAGGCCATCCGGACCTGAACACCGAAGAAAATGCTCAGATATTCGAGCAAAACTTCTTGAAGAGAAAGAGAATAAACAGACGAAACTTTGTGAACAAGTAGAAACAGAAAACAATAATGCCTCAACATCTCATTATCTCCAAATGCACCGAGGAAAAGTTGGCAAATTAGAAAGCTGTTCAGAGCACAAAAGCAATTGAAGTTTGTGTTCTTTTTTAATGAAAGTTAATTTGGAAAAACAAAATAGCGTACCTTTTTTTACCAATAAGCACGCATGTCTGTCTACGAACAAGAATGTACCAGCTTTAACAATGATTCAATTTCAGCTATTCTAAAATCCAGTCCTAGAATTGGTATCAACTTGGGAACAACATTTCACATACTTGGTAGATATTGGCCTCCCTTATTCCTTTTTTTTTTCCAAATTATCAAAAGACATCTAAGGTCGTGAAAACAATTCAAACATGCTCCTACTACTACCCGAACGACCTGTTCTTCACTAGACATACTGGTACTAACGAAAACCAAGATGAAAAATAATGGCTAAGGTGAATACAATGTTTTAGAATGTGATGCCAGATGTAGCAATCAAATGAAAGATATATTTAAAACACACCACCAACAACAACAAAGCCTTATCCCACTAAGTGGGGTCGGCTATATGAAATCCCAGAACGTCACTGGGCTCGGTTTTGTGTTATGTCTTCTGTTAGATCCAAGCGGTCCAAGTCTAATGATTCGACATAAGAACTGAGTGCCGGTTGTCGACTACTTGACACCCTCCCCCTCCTTTAAAAAAAAAACCAAATTATTTGATTTCCAACATAGAATCCATCTTTGGGGAGAAATATACTAAAAACATCAAATCAGACTTAATCACATGAGACCACAGTTCAAATCTAATCATTGTTTCTAGTAAAAAGAAAAAAGTGAAATGCACATTAGGTCAACAAAAGATTATCATAAAATCAGTCTATAATGATGTTCAGAATCATATATCATACCCCATGGGAATTCCTTATTGCGGATATGCAAGTATGGGTATGGCTGCAAACATAAAGAACAGAAAACGTGGATCACTATCAACTGCAGAAGGTAAAGACATAATATCAAGGAATGCAAAGCGAAAAAATCGCAACGCTTAAGAAAGCTCACAGGAGGCGGTTCATAGTGAGGATGCGGCTTTGACAGGTTAACAAAAGTTAAAATAGTGCAGGCAGCAATGCCTAAGTAAGTTATCTTCTCCCACTTGTCCGCCTCACCTGAGTAAGTGAAGTAGAAAAACAGATCAATGCAATGTAAAACCACTAAAATAATCCGCGATGCCAATCGTATCGAGAACGAATTTTATACTCCAAACCCAGATGGATATCAATGCTTAAGGTGTCACCATAGCATTCTACATTATTCAAGCTTACCGGAAAGGCTTCAGACTCCGCCGAATTCCGGAATTAAATTCATCTTATATTTGGTCATTGCTTTCACAACAATATACACAAACCTATCAAACTATTGAACAAAGGGGAAGAAAATAATAAAAAAAATATAGGAACTAAGGTAAAAACCCTAACATACACCCGCAGCTCCAAATGTTAAGAATGAGGATCCTCTCCAGATCCTGGAAATCCTCAAATCATGTACCTTCATCATCGTGTCTCGCCAGTTCTATTCATATTTAATTTTAAATAAAAGTATTTAAAATGATTTTAACCCAACGATATACAATGAATAAACACGATTATCAAAAAATGATCCTCACAAAGATTATCCGGAGAGGATCCTCACTCAAATGTTAATTGGATTTTCTCGGATAAAAAATTCGTAATAAAACTAAGAAATAATAATTCCATCAGTAAGAATTCGTGTGCGTGTGCGCGCGCGTCGGAGAGAGAAAGATAAGAAATTACGAGCATCGTTGTGTCCAGCAGAGGAGGAGAAGGAGCGCTTTAGAGGAGCAGCTGATCGAGAGCCGCCGCGCAGGGCGGTCTGAAGCCCAGCAGCTCGGACCATCGCCATCGCCATCTCTTAGCAAAGCTGTATCTGTCAGTCGGTGGTGTTGTATTGTTTAGAGAATTTATGGCAAGCGAAAATGCGAAACCAATTGTTGACAATTTTGTTGCAGGAATTGTGTAGAAGGAGTTGGAAATTAGAAAGAGAAAAGCCCGTTTCTCTAAAGCCACTTTCTGTTTACACCCAACAAATTACAGGCCCATGGTTGCCTATTACAAATGCACGTTTATCCACATTTTTGGAAAATATTCACCACTCACATATTAAATAATATTCAAAACATTCACCTTTAAATGTGTAAATACTCAAGTAAATGTTACATCAAATACAACAAAGTTGAAGTCGTCTTGTAGGCACTTATTTAAGAACACACTAGTCTCAAACAAGGAAACTTGCATATGAAAATAAGTCTCACAAAATCCGACTATTGTAAAACCCAATATGTGACAAAAATCCACAGTCTAAGAAAAAATGTGAGTTAATTCAAAGCCAATTTAAACGTCTACAGGACGTACATAAGGGTATGATCAATTTGAATGTATGCCTCGTTAAAACCTAGTCAGTTAGCAAAAACCCAAAAGGAAAAATGCTCCTAATTGTAGGAAAAAAGTATATTAAGTTCAAGTGAGTATACTTCGGATACTTCCTTGAGTTTGAAATAATTCCAAAAAGAACTAACAGTGTTACTATTTAGAAAGTTTACCCATACCAATTCCTCGAACAAACTTATGAAAAGTAGATTTAGGGAGTGACTTGGTGAACAGGTCGGACAGGTTGTCATGGGAACATATTTGCTTCATTCAATCTTTTAATGTTCTTTGATAAAACACTTCTTGATTTGTACAAAACATGCTGCGTTATCTTCATAAACCATTTTAGGGACGTCAATGATAAAAAAAAAAGTCCGCAGGTGCTTCGAATATGCTCAACAAGATATTGTGTTGTCTCAAATGGTAAAGATGTAACTTGTTTAAGAACGCACCTTGTGCGGGTTAGACAAGTAACTTGTGTCAACATAATCATCTCGAGAATCAAGGGGGCGGCGGCTCATCTCGAGGATTCGTAGGATATAACAAACCAAAATTTGTTGTACCTTTATGGTAATTGAAGATGTCTTTAACACCGGTCCAGTGTCTGAGTGTAGGTTCATTGTTATATCTTGCTAGAAGACTAACAACGAAGAAGATGTCTGGTTTAGTGCATTGAGCTAGGTTTGAGCATGAGAGAGAGAGAGAGAGAGAGAGAGAGAGAGAGAGAGAGATTTGGTGGTTGTTGTCTCATCGGAGTTGGCAAGAGCGATTATGGCGTGGTTTCGGCTATGGGAAACTAGAGGGAGATTGAAGGAAAGGTAGTGAGTCAAGAGTGAGAGGCATAGGTAGAAAAAAAAAAAGGGTATAGTTCTGCGTAGATGGTTAAGCTCAACAAATTTTATAGACCCAAGTTGAGTTTGAAAAATTGTTAAACAATTTGGGCCACTTGCCCAACATAAGCAGAGGTAAAGTCTACATTTTGAAACAAGGCTGATAACCCAGTGTTCATATTGAAGAGAATTATTTAAATGTGGCAAGATAAAAGACGAGGATTGAAAATAAATGACAAGTGCATGTAGAAAATCCATGTTGCATGTAAGGGGCATTATGGTAATTGCATTGCTTCTGGGAATAAAATTTAGGACTGGATGTCACATGTGCCACGTGGCATAACCTGGTGTGTCAGATTTCCAAAGAATATGGAAGTCAACGACAAGATTAATGTAGATTTTTTTTAATTCTATAATTACTCAACAATCTTCTTCAATTCCCACACCATAACTCAATATTTATTTCACTACAATCTATTATATTTATTTTCCATTTTTCAAATCCTTTTGTTATAGAAAAAAAATGAGTGGGAAGAAAATTGGTCGAATTGGGAAGACGTCACTTTGCTGGAGGCTTGGGTGCTTGTTACTCATGACCTAGTCACAAAAAATGAGATGAGGGTGCAACACACATGGAAAAAAAATTCATGCATAATTCACTGAGCACATTCAAGGCATATCCCAAACCAAGAAATCTTTGTTGCATAGGTAAAAACATCTACATTAAGATTTAAAAGCTTGGCAAAAAGACGTCACAAAAGCAGAAGGAATTTATCGAAGTGACGATAATCTAGCCAATCAGGTAATAACATTTTATTCTTAATAAATGTTAAAATGCAATTAGCGTGTGAAACATACTCTAAAGTACAAAATTCTACCTAGTGGTCCACAAGTTGCGTTGAAAGAGACTCCCCTACACGAATCAACTATTGAAGAGTTGCCGTTGCAGACCCTAATTGAATTGGTTGCACAAACCCAAGAAGCCCCAATGCCTATTAATAAGAAGTTTGCTAAGAAAAGAGCTGCAAGAGGGAGTTTTTTTTTTTTTTTTTTTTAATAATGATTATTCAAAATTAGTTGATGAATTGGCTTACCAACATGCATTGAATATGGAGCAAGACAAGTTATCTTGTGAGCAAGACCTAAAACATTCTCAACATCTCTCTTTTGAACAAAGTAATTATCATAGTACAAATAGAAACCATGATTTTGTTGAACAAATGTGGTCGCATCCTAAATCTTTTTCAAAAATAAATCTTCCAGGTACAAACTATTTGGGATAGAGTAATCTTCCAATAGATTATCACCTCAGTTTCCCCTGCGTCGGTTGAGGTTCAACACCGGACCGGTTCTTGAACCACTTACTTCTCTGTTGTGTTGATCGATTGATGTTATCGCTTTCACCACTTGACAGGTTGATGCTTCTTCACGCTTCCACTATTAAGCACGTCTTCTTCTTCTTTCTTCATCTTCTTGCTCGTTTTCTTGTTCTCAACTTTCTTGTAACCTCCTCAAGATAGACATTGTTGAAAGAACTTTCTTTCTAAAAATCTATGAATTGAGATGAGTAGAGAGAATGGATGAGGCTTGGTGTGAGAAGATGTGATGGTTTGAAGGAGTTTTTTGGAGAAATACGACGAAACCAAAAGATTGGATAAGGACATGTGGCACTACGGGAATGGTCGAGAATCTCTTAAAAAATATGATTGAATATTCTTAATGGATAATGACATGTGGCGTGACGAAAGTTGTTGAAAACCTTATCGGAAATGTAAGGCGTTAATGTCGACACGTGGAGGATAAGGCCAACAAAGCATAATATATATATATACACACACACGCACATACATATTTGTAAATAGTAATCGCTTTTGCTATTCCCCAACAAGTGGAGTTGTACAAAGGTAATTACTTTTTAGAGTGAATAGTAAGGGAAATTCAATGCTCTCATCCTTGCCTTTCCTCAACGAGTGAAATTGCTCCAAAAAGATATCAAAATATAACTAATTTCCATCCTAGCTAAATACAATCAAATATGTGGTGGGATACCTCTTATATTTAAAAAAGAAGAAGATAATACTTACATTCCCTCTTTGGAGAACTTATTCTCTCACATGAAAATATAAATTTCAACGTAGAAATTTTAAAACCTGAACAATTCAATTTAATAATGTTCATTTGAAGATTATACTTACAAAATATTATTCTAATAAGAAATTATTTTTACCCAAATGTATCAATAAATGAACGGTACACTATGAATATGTTACTTAGTACATACACCTTTGATGTATTTGATAAATTTGGATGACTAAACAAACTCTAATTCGAATGACTTTTTGTAAGAAAGATCTTAAAATAAAGTCTAAAAAGTTGACGGTTCTAATTATGAAATTTTTACAATAAAAATATGTTATTTGTAAATGCGGTAATGGACTAATTTCCGAACGATGATGGTACAAATGAGGGTTCTAATTATGAAGAAGCGCATAGCATATCATTCTGTTCCCTCAAGACCAAAGGAGTCTATCACATCCTCTTTGGTCCAACCCCCACGCAACAAAACCCTAGACAGCACCTTCACGCGCCACCCCACTCCCGCCAAGTCATTGCCATCTCCCATTGCGTAGGGCCCACTTCTCATCTTCTCACCATAGCCATCCATCATCATCATCTCCCTAACCTCTTCCTCTTCCCACCCGCCCTCCCTCAGCCTCCAAAACACCTCCTTCAAACATTCCACCAACTTATAACTACTCCACCACCCGCGCCTCTCCTCACGCGCCGCCACATCGCTCCAAAATTCGATCCTCCGCGCCACCTTGGGGGCCCACACAGGCACGTGCATGAACCCAAACTCTTAGCGAAAAAACCGAGTAATGTCACAGCTCAAAACCCTAACCCTCTCCGCGTCACTGTACAAAACAGGATTCCCCGCCATGGTCGGCCTGGAAGGCACATAACAATTCCGGTATATCGGAACCAGAACCGGTGCTCTCTTCAATTTGCCACGTCCACATCACTATGACGATGGTGTGGTGAGGTCTTCGAACCTCACGACTTGCACCAGAGGGTTCCGTTGGAGACTTGTCTGATAAGGCTGCGGGATGGGTGGCTGAGGATGATCCGGAGTTGTTGGTGGGAGGAGGAGCGCCAGTTGGGGAAGGCGGGGTCCACGGGGAGGCCTTCCTGGAGGATGGCACGGAGGTCAGGGGGGAAGGTGAAGTCGAAGGCGGCTTCGAGGGAGGCCAGCTCTTCGTCGGTCAGGCCTTGTTTGATTGGGATTGAATGGGGTGAGGAGTGGAGGTGGTTTACTACGGACTTGGCGTAGGCCGCAACAGAGAAGCAGACTAACGGCTGTTTTGGGGGGGCAGTCGTCGATTTGGAGGTGGGTTTTGGTGGGAGCTTGCTGATGATCGTGTGTTGGTGTTTGGATTAAAACTTGATTTTTGGCCCAAGGATGGAGTCGGCCCAAAAGGAAGCCTGGAGGACCTTTTCTGACTTGATACAATTCATAAGGGCCACTTGCCTACCTACCCAAGGACCAAGTGGTGTAGACTGATCAGACTGCACAGCCCATAAAGTACTTTATGGTGGCATTACATGTAATAAGGCTGATGAGTCATCACCCTCAGACCGCATTCGGGCAAAGCTGTCGCTACAGGAGCCAAACCGAGTTGTCTATAAAAGGAGGAAGAGAAGACAGGAATAAAGACACTCAATCAAACAAACAAAAGCACAAACTC